CTCTCTCTCTCTCTCTCTCTCTCTCTCTCTCTCTCTCTCTCTCTCTCTCTCCCTTCTCACCTTATGGCCGGAGGGAAGTTCAATGTCCTGCGAGGGACTGCGCCCAAACTGTGGAATAGAGGGGAACATCCTGAGAGTCTCCTTGATTACCCTCTCCAGGTACTCGAGGTGCCGCATGTCGTCCATGGTGCCAGCGCGGTCGACATCCTCACCGAACACGCTGGTTATCTCCTGTGGGGCAGCACGAACAAGAACTGCATTTATATTTTTCATTTGTAGGAATTTAGGCAATCAAATTTTTTGCACACATCTCCGCCTTGATTTGCACACTTCTATGTGCATTTATTTGTACGAAGTTATACACTTTGCCCAACGAATACGGGCTGTATGGAAAATCCCTACGTGTAAAGGGAAAAAAAACAACATGTTTTCAGTATAGTCTATTTCCTTCACTCTATGGGCAGTGCTATTTACTCACTGTTAAAGTCTTACGAAGAAAAATGCCAAATCCTTTGTAATACGAAGCATTTGGACGCTTCGTAGGGAGCAAATCCTTCGTAGGTACGAAGCATCTGGCATTTTGGTTCGTAAGACTTTAACTGTGCTGTGCATGGATAGTAAAGGCCGTTTCAATTGGAAAATTTACCCGTACACTGCGCTGGAAGAAACGGAGAGCTTAGTAAAATACCGAGTAAAATACGGTAGTTTTCTGGGAGAAGCGGGTAGCACCTGCAGCGGCGCGCATGATGCGAGCTCGTCCTGAGCGTATGTTCATTTCTCTCAGATTCTGCACATTAGGGAGCTTATGGCGCCTGCGTGCCTAAGGGTAGTCCATCCCGGAGTACACGAATGCACTCCAGGCAAGGTGTTGCATACCTACCAGGCGCTGAGGTGGCCGAGGTGGCCTACGCGCGCCTTAAGTAGGGGGATGGTCAAGTCGGCTGACACCGAGAGCTGACGCGAGAGTTCGACGTGACATGGAGCTATATGGCTTTGAGCTGCCTCAGTGTCTCGTGTCTCAATCGCACCTGTCGGTTTGCGGACTGCCCAGGCCGGGACTCGTTTATCGACAGTTGGTGGTTCGTTCAGCTCTGCCGCGCGGGCAACAGCGAGGACCGTGTTCCCTGGTAGCACACACATGTTCGAAAAACGTTCGCTCTGCTTAAGTTCGGTTCCGAACTTCGTCCGAACTCCCGCGACAGCGCTAAGTTCACGTTCTCCGAAAACATTAAGAGAACGTCTTCTTACAACTTGTTCAGTACTACTTTCAAACACCCAAGCCGACAAACCAACCATCGAAATGTGAATCCTATTTTCGACCAAGAACGTGAAGTAGTGCTCTAATATCAGTACAACATCATATCACTATTCTCGAATAAAATCTTGATAAAAATCATCTTCGAGGCCGTACACTGATAAACTAAGTGTTCAACTGCTCAACACTTGCAGTGTGCAACTCTGCAAGTTGAATACTTGCAAGTGTTGATCTCCTCGGCTGAGCACTTTCTTGCACAGTGAGACGTTCAGTTTAAGGAAGTGTTCAACCGAAGAGTTTGCACACTTGCAAGTGCACACCTACCGAGTTGAACACTTGCAAGTATTCAACTTGCAGTTGCACAATTACAAGTGTTGAGCAGTTGAACACCTAGTTTCTCAGTGTATTATTAACGCATAACGTTGAATTGTAATTTAATGCAAACAGACGAAACCGGTGGAAATGAATAGGTATCCGTTAAGAGAGAATTCATAAAACATTTTTGGTGAACGTTCTCGGAACATCAAGGAACGTTCTAAGTATTTGTTCACAGAGCGTTGCTGGTACGGCCACTGTACGTTCATGATAACGAACTTGCTACCTCCAGCGAACCGAACCTTCGAACATTCCGGGGACGTTCTACGAACATGTTTGTGCGACCAGGGATTCGCGGCGGAAGGGGAGGGGACACTGCTAAATTCCCGCAAATCAATGCTTTGCAGCCTGAAAAGCATTGCTGACATTGCTTCGCCCAACCAAAAAAATTGTTAGCTTGCGACCATCTCATAGGTAATTCAGGGAGCACCATAAAATATGGCTGATGCAACATTATCAAGGTTGTGAGAACCAAAAATATGGTTTCCATCATTATTGTTGTCTCAACCATATTTTATGGTGCTCCCTGAGACAACCATAAGACGGTTGCTATTGCTTATCATTCTTCTGAGTGCAATTGCAAAGCATCTTCCGAACAAGCTCGGGAAAGCGAACGTTTTGCTCGCACGTGTCGTCCCGAGGAACGTTTATAGGGGGCGCACTGGAGTGCACCTTTGCACTTCCTCTTACATACCCAAAAGCCACAGCGCAGTCCCCTCAGCCACAACTCAAAACAGCTCGCTACCTCGCGCTTCGCGCGCCCAGTCCGTCGTGCTCGCTCTATCCATGGCGTCATGAAGTCCCTCCACTCCCCGCCTCCACCCGTCTCGTCATGAGCGCCATAAAGCACGGCGCACTTAGCAATTCTGTCAAATCACTGCACCAGTCCGAAATTGTCGCCGCTGCCGCGCTGCAGCGCGCGAGGCGAGTGCCTTGACGACAAACGCTTTCTCACGACGGATGTCACGATCGGTCCTGCCCTCCGCTCCGGGGGCGTTACGCGTGACACCGTCGTTACGGTCCCGATTGAACTGGGGCAATTCGACCGGGATGGCATCGCGCCTCGCGTTGAAAGGAGTGGGAGAGAGAGAGAGCGTGTGTGAGAGGGAGGGGGACAGACTGACAGGCAGACGGACAGACAGAGACAGAGAGTGGTTACAAAAGTTGTCTCGTGTAGTAGAATTTCCGGGATCACAAGAGTGTGCAGTATTTTGAAAGTATGCACCACAGATGCATCTCTGTTTCGACGACCAAATCGCCCTAAGCCCGCTAAAGCTGTGCCATAAGGAACAACTGCGCCCCTTCGAGTGATAATGCATGCCAATTTTCGCACATTTACAGAATGGCTTTTAGGTCGTTTCATTTTATGAAGTAAAACACTGTGCATAGAGTACGGATCACTCTCAGGCGTAGGAGTTGCATGCCATGTGTATCGTGTCATGCTCATCAAACACGGGCGCAACCTTCTCAGTAAATGAGGGGGAGGGAAAATCTGCGTTCTTTGGTTTTGAACAAGAATCAAATCGAGGCATCCAAAGGATTTACGAAATATTGTTCGAGACGGTCATGAAGTGAAAATTTAACGCCCAAGCTATGAGGGAAACGTGCGAGATACACTCTAAATGGAGAGGACCATTTTTTTTACGGAGGTTAGATGTGGCCGTGTGCACATCTTCATTAGATGCAAAGTTCTCTACAAGGAGGTACAAGTTATAGCTTTACTAGGTAGGTACAAATGCTTTATTGTGTATGTTACCTAGAGACAACTTTGCATTTCATTTAGATGTGCACAGGGACATATCTATGCTAGGAACAAAATTTGAGCTTTTCCATTTAGGGTGTAGCAGACTAGACACATACAGGGTGGGTGTTCCAAGCCGGACTTTCTTTCTGGTTCAACTGTACCGTGTCCAGGCGTGCGGTTGGAATAATGTTGTTAACTGCAAATCAAACCCATGATTTTAAAAATTTAAAAGTGATATTTAATTTTGAGTTGACAAGTTCGGCTCTGTTTAATTCTTACACGCAAACTGGATTTGTATATTCTTTTCGTACGAAGTTTAAGCAATCAAATTTGTTGCATCCTGCCATCTGACACTTTTGCGCATTCATTTGTCCGATATCTTGCTTTTTTGCGCACAGACCCGTCCACAGCCACGGGATCGTGTAGGCGATGGGTCGTCCAGAAAGTGCGTCCTGTTTTTCTCAGATTAGTTGGGCTAATTGGCTAATATTCGGGCTCGGCGCCTGCGAAACTCGGGGTAGGCCAGCCCGAACTACACGCATGCACTGCAGGCAAGATGCTGCCTACCTATCAGGCGCTATAAGAGCTTGCACAGGCTGAAGCTGAACTTGGCACGACCGTAACGGCGAATGACGGACCACGTTCTGATTGGCTACCAATCGCTCCAACAGCGACCACCCTGCTGGAATGCGTTCCTCACCTGTACGATCCGGTCCTGCACATCCTGCCGCAGCGAGATGCAGAGCAGCACGAAGCACAGCGCGTCTGTCGAGCCCCCCGTCGCGGCCGTGATGAGCCCCTTCACCTCGTCCAGGACCTCGCCGTCCGTCAGAGCGGCCTCCGTGTCGAGCATCACGTCGAGGAACGTGGCTTTCCTCTGTGCGCCGCCGTCAGCCGGGCCCCGGGGCTGTGCCTGGCGCTCGCCTCTCTTGATGCTGAGCAGGCGGAGCGTGAAGGCGTCGAACAGCTCCATGCTGCGCTTGAAGTGCGCGTGTAGGCGCGACAGCTTGAAGAGGCCGTCGTGCAGGAACCAAGGGTTGAAGACGCGGTACAGGATGATGGCCAGCCCGCTGCTCATGGCGTTGGCGATACCCTCCTCCTCCATGGCGCGCGTGTCCACGTCCGAAGCCATGACGGTGTGGCACACCATGTCGGTGACCGCCTGGCCCGCGAACGGGAGGACGTTGACGGCCTGTCCCGAGCGCGCGCTGGGGGCCAGCAGGCGTACGAGCACCTCGGCGCGCCGGTGGAACACCTCCGGGAAGCCGCGCAGCACCTCCGGGCTGAAGTACGGCTGGACGATGCGCCTGCGCCGCCGCCACCGCTCGCCACTCAGGTGCAGCAGCCCCTCGCCCATCAGGGTGCCGATCAAGTCGTACACCAGGGACTTGGTGGCGGCGCGCCTGTCCGTCAGCAGGCACTCGATGTCGTCGGCGCGCATCAGGATGACGAACAGCACCGGGCCGGACCAGAATTTGAAGATGCCGCCGTCGCGGTGCTCCCGGGCCACGTCGTGGAACAGGTCCGAGACGCGGGCCGGCGAACGACGCGCCCGCCAAAGGCGTAGGAAGTGCTCGAGGCGGGGCCCCGGGATGTCGCGCGTCAGGGCGTGCTGGTGGGCGGCGCGGGCTGCGCGGCGAGCCACCCACAGCAGGACCCTGGCCACCAACAGCAGGAGCAGCAGGAGCAGCAGGGCCGCGGCCGCCAGCGCGCACCAGCGAGCCCCGCCCGCCAAGCGTGCCGTCAGCAGCGCGGCCGCGACCACCGCCACATGGCCCCAGGACGGCGCCCAGCACGGCATCTCCAGCGCGAGGAGCACAGCAACGCCGGAGCGGAGTCCGAGAGCAGAATGGGGGGAATCGGGAAAAGCAGAGCAGAGAGCATTTTGTGGCTCACTCGGAGCGTTGTCATGCTGCTCGCGACCGGGGGGGAGGGGGTGAGTGACAAGAGCACCACCAACAAATCAGACCCGCTCTTCCGCAAAAAGCCAGCTCCACATCGCTCTGTTTAGCAACTCCGCCAGGAGCAGACCCCGCACAACCATGAGTTCAAGTGGCCCAAATATCGAAACTGGGCCAATAAATCTTTAGGATCGAGTTGCTGTACTACGCGTCCGTCCGTCCGTCCGTCCGTCAGTCAGTCAGTCAGTCAGTCAGTCAGTCAGTCAGTCAGTCAGTCAGTCAGTCAGCCAGTCAGCCAGTCAGTCAGTCAGTCAGTCAGTCCGTCAGTCCGTCAGTCCGTCAGTCCGTCAGCCCGTCAGTCCGTCAGTCCGTCGGTCCGTCAGTCCGTCGGTCCGTCAGTCCGTCAGTCAGTCAGTCTGTCAGTCAGTCAGTCAGTCAGTCAGTCAGTCAGTCAGTCAGTCAGTCAGTCAGTCAGTCAGCCAGTCAGCCAGTCAGTCAGTCAGTCAGTCCGTCAGTCCGTCAGCCCGTCAGTCCGTCAGTCCGTCGGTCCGTCAGTCCGTCAGTCAGTCAGTCAGTCAGTCAGTCAGTCAGTCAGTCAGTCAGTCAGTCAGTCAGTCAGTCAGTCAGTCAGTCACCCAGAGAGAAATTTTAGTGGAAAAGACGTGGAATCGACGTGGTATTAGACGTGGAAAACACGTGATGAATTCACGTGTTATCCACGTGAATTTGACTATCTCATCCACGATTTATCGACGTGTTGATCACGTCGATTCAACGTGACGTCGACGTAAATGTCTCCACGTACAAATGTCCTACATGCAGATCCGAATCTCAAATTTAGGTATAACTCTGCAATTTATATAGTTAGGTAAAGGGTAAGCAGTACAGAGAGAAACAGTTTCTTTGAGTAGAATGTTGACTTTATTTGATGAAACATGAAAACAATAACACAAAGAAATAAATCCTAATCTTTAAAACAAAAATAACAATGACTAGATGCAACACAACTTAAAGAAAAACATAAACAGTCTTTTCTCTGCAAGTATCAGCCAGTTTTTAATGACTTCTTCAGCAGAAGGTACTACCCCTGCTACCTCCTTATTGCAAATCTACCAAAGCACCTGAAAATAAATCCAACCAAATTACTATGAATATGGAGGCAATATTGTTATAAAAAGTGATTAGACTTTTTAAAACAACCATTTGAATTTGAAAAAGTAACGACAACAATGTACTTTCAAAAACTCACTCTATTAGAGAAACAAGCCTTTCAACGTAACTTCAACTAGAGTTCAAAACAAGGCACTGACAATAACACTGTGTAACAACAGTAGAAAAGTTCAGTGAAAAACACAAACAAATTTTGAGTTGTAGTGTAATCAATTTTTTCTTCAGGTTTCAAGTCATTCCTGAGAGGTAAAGTAAGATAACCTAAACCAAACTAACCTAGTCTATACTTCGCCCACAATACAAGACAGAGATTAGATATCTTTTCTCGACTCTAAATCCATTTAACCGAATCACGCTGAGAATTTTGAAGTTGGGACCTTCCTTACCTTCCGACTTTGATTAACGGCAGCAGTTCTGGTGGTTTCTTGTGCCTCTATATCACTAAACGTCCACAGAAGACAAAACCTACACGACAAGAAATTACTAACAAGACTGACAATGCGATAATACAAAGAGGAAACGTAAAAAAATGATATTCACTTACGCTTTTTTAATTTTTTGTAGTAATTTGTAGTAAAAGACCACAGACACGATACGACATTTCGAATGTAAACAACGTACGGTGCCTTCTTTTTTCGGTTCGAAACGAGACTCTCTGTGGTGTCGTGGCGGAATATTTTGAAAGGTGTTCTGTCAAGAACACTTTTTAAGTATTCTTCAATGAAGATGACAAATGAAAAGCGTGTGCTCTGTCACAGAATAAATGTCTAACAGTTTCGTTGGCGCTGTTTTAAAGTGAGAAGCATAGGTATTTGAGACGAACTGGTATGAGCAACTAAATTAAGAGTTTCGAGGCAACCGACGTGAAATCAACGTGGAATCGACGTGTACACGACAGACGAACTCATACACGTCGATTCGACGTGGATTCCACGTCGAATTGACAATATACTGAAATATGGCGTTCAGAACAATAAAAATCCCATTTACTGAGAAATGTTGATGCAAAAATGGTTTCTTCTGATTTTATTTGCATCTTTTTAGAAAGGTAAATAGTGGTGGATATCTCGTGGATGTATCCACCACCACGAAA